CACTTAGGCCCAATCCCTGCAGGCAGGAAAGTGTACTCTGCCTTTCGTCAAAGGAACTATGAAGTACATTACAAAGAACATTGACACAGAAAAGGGATGAAGAGGAATTGGGGCCTAAATCAGAGTCTGAATTATCAAAATATCTGGGGGGAATTCTGTAGCAACCCTGAGGGGTCCCAGATTGGAGAGGGTGTAGGCTGGGCTGAGGGACACTCCACCCACCCCCATGCACGAATTTCATGCACCAGGCCTCTAGTTTAGACTATAATCCAAAAAGACCAATAGGCAAAGCCTGCAATTCATCCAGTCTTCTCTGAGAGAGATGACTTTTCTTAGCAGCCCTCAAGATTGTATAACATTGCATTGGATGACTAAAGCTGGTTTGGAGTAGGTGAATAATTATCTCTGTTAGAGAACCTAGCACATATTACACAAGTTCTCTTGTCTTTAAAAACTTCTCTAAACCTTTGAAGAAGTAAGAACCAGGCTTAACTTTGAGAAGTTCTTCTCATACAAATCTGCACATTAGCAAGGGAGCTACTCTTGCTTCTCACTCAAGATTCAATGCCTCTACCGTAAACAGGAAAGTGTCCAGTATAGTAGCTGCTTACAACCATTACTTAGCACCCTGTTTGTGATGGACTAGACACTAAAGACTGCCATACCTGCCTGAAAACAAACAAACAAACAAACAAACACCACCACAAGCTTCCAGAAGAGCTGTGTGGCCACCACTTCATGATGCTCATTTCTCCTTCAAGGTCCTGTGACGGTACATCAGCTTGGTGACCACTATGTTTAAAACAGAAACCATAGCTGCAAGAGAGTCTGGGGACTGTAGTTTAGCCCTTTAGCCTCAAGTGCACAGGAAGTCATGCTAGAAGCAATTTGCAATCCTGTAGCATTTGCCATGTAGAGCCTCAGATAGATGTTAGTCTAGTTTCCTGCCTTTACACATGCAATTGACTATATGCATTTTTTGGGGGAAAATATGTCATGTTTAGTTTAGAATGCTGGATGTTGAAAGTTATTATTCCCAGGAAATATGTCTTCCCAAGCCACAACTTTATTTAGTACCTGTCTTAGAAATTTCATTGTTATGAGAATGAAAATAGTCATGAATTTTCAAGAAGTCATATACTACTTCCAGAAATAGTTCAGAAATAATTTAAATACTGTCCCTTTCAAGTGGTTTCAAATTGATATTCCTAATCATGACCAGACTTTCTCTTTTCTTTCTAATAATGCAGGACTATTTTTTTTTTGCCAAGTATCTAAGCAGTAATAAGGGCATTGAGGTAGCACATAGATTGCAAAAGCATCCTTTTTATCAAATTATTTCAGAGAAAGGGACCTCTTCTTCCCAAAGCAACAGATAGGAACAACACTGAGTAAAACAAATGGTGGAATATATAACCAAAATAAAAGTCTCCCCCTGTATCTGTTAGATATTGTGTTATCAAAAGTGACATACAGTGATAATTACTTATTTCTCACACACCTGTCAGTCAGATAGGGTAGCTCGGAGGATGTTGGCTGGGTGACTCTAAGCTGCAGGTTGGGTCCGGTCTGCTTCACAAAGCTGTCATCCTCCTTGGACCAGCAAGCAAGCAGGTTATGCACTTTTTAAAAGGACGGCAAAGGCACAAGAGAGCAAGTAGTACCAACAGTTCCTCTTAAGGCCTAAGCTTGGAACTGGCTCTCTTTCATTTCTGCTCATATTTTATTGATCAAAGCAAGCCACATGTTTACATCCAAAGACAAAGGGGCAGGAAAGCGTACTCTGCGTTGGGTGAAAGGACGTATGAAGTACATTACAAAGACAATTGGTACAGAAAAGGGATGAAGAGGAATTGGGGCCTAAATCAGAGTCTGAATTATCAAAATATCTGGGGGGAATTTTATAGCAACCCAAATACTTCTGTTTCCTTATTTGTGACTAATAGATTATCGTTAAGTCTAGCCATATCTTAGGATGATAATTAATTTGTGATTGAGATATGTAAGTGAAATAGATTTCCCAGTAGTGAAGCTAAGAAAGGTGAGGGATGGAGATACCAGGCGAGTATGGGGGTACCTCCAATACTGCAATTTAGTGATAATTGTAAGATTTCATTATTGTAAAATTTTCTTGTAGTAATTCAAAAGAACTGTTTGAGAATATATAGTGTTTATTCACAAAATCAGATCATCTTTACATAACTCTTTGTTGTTAGACTTATGACTAATTCTAAAAAGGCTGTGATAATAGATGGGTTAAGGTGATGCTTCCTGATGAAAGTGGGAACTGAATTTGTATGATTCTTTTGACTATATTTTTTGTAATAAGTATGATGAACAGAATATGGACTAATGAAATTCAACTTAGTATTACTAGAAACTAGAACATTCTCTCCTGGAATAAATATGAAACAAGAAGCTTCAAATTTTACTCTGAATGAATTAAAAAGTATTTTAAAAAATTGAGATATAATTGACATATGACATTATATTAGTTTCAGGTATACAACATAATGCTTCAGTATTTGTTTATATTGTGAAAAGATCATCACAGTAATGTGGCTAACATCCATCACCACACAGTTCAAAATTTTTTCTTATGGTGAGAACTTTTGTTAATATCTATTCTTTTAGCAACTTTCAAGTGTACAATACGGTATTATTAACTATAGTGATAATGCAATTTATATATTATATTCCCAGGACTTAATTATTTCATAATTGAAAGTTTGTAATTTTTTTACACCCATTTGCCCATTCCCTACCCCCCACCTTTGGCAACCACCAGTCTGTTCTCTGTATCTATGAATTAGAGGGTTTTATTTTTTTATTTGTAGAACTGATAGTTTAAGGTCCAGTCAGAGTCTGAAGGCAGAAGAGGGAGGAAGAGAGAGAGGGAGAGAGAGAGAAACATCAATGATGAGAGAGAATCACCCATCAGCTGCCTCCTGCATGCCCCTTACTGGAGATGTGCCCTTGACTAGAATCGAACTTGGGACCCTTCGGTCTGCAAACTGACACTCTATCCACTGAGCCAAACCAGCTAGGGCAGTAGGGTTTTTTTTGTTTGTTTGTTTGTTTGTTTGTCTTTTTCGTTTAGTTTTGTTTTTTTAGATTCCACTTATAAGTGAGATCAGACAGTATTTGTATTTTTCTGTCTGACTTGTTTCAGTTAGCATAATACCCTCAAGGTCCATACATGTTGTCACAAATGGCAAATTTTCCTTTTTTCATGACTAATATTCCATAGTAGATACCATATTTCCATCATCCATTAGTCCATCAATGGACTCTTAGGTTGCTTCCGTGTCTTATATATCTTTTTGAGTTAGTGTTAAATAAGATTATTTTTCACAATGTCTCAGATGTAGTATATTTTGTTGTGTAAGAAAGAAAAGCTGAGATAATAACCTTTTAGAACCCAGAAATGACTAATGGTGAATTCTGTTCTTAGGAAGCTGTTTGCTTTACTGTCGTGCTCATAATAGAAAACGGTGCTAGAGAAATAGAACTTTTCAGTAGACTACAAGAAAATGTACCAAAATTATAAACACTAGGATTATTTCCTATTCACAATAATTTTAATTATAACTAACATTCAAATCCTGTTAAAAATCAGGCACAGACCTAACCGGTTTGGTTCAGTGGATAGAGCGTCGGCCTGCGGACTGAAGGGTCCCAGGTTCGATTCTGGTCAAGGGCATGTACCTTGGTTGTGGGCACATCCCCAGTAGGGGTGTGAAGGAGGCAGCTGATCGATGTTTCTCTCTCATCAATGTTTCTAACTCTCTATCCCTCTCCCTTCCTCTCTGTGAAAAATTAATAAAATATATTTTAAAAAAATCAGGCACAGTCCCAAATGCTCTAGATATATCATTTAATGTAATCCACAAACAATCTGATGAGGTTTCTTACTGTCCTTATTTTACAGATGAAACACGTTTCAAACTATAATTCACATATATTACTTTAAAAACACACACAAATAAAATTATAACCTTTTTAAGCAAGAAAAGTGTACTATCTTTAGGATTAACAATTTGAAAATGATGTGTGATATACTGCGTGTAAACCTTTTTCTCCAAAGCTATACTTGTGTGTATTATTAGAAAAGCTGAATTCCATTACCTCCCTTAGGCAAGTTGTTTAACATCTAAAGCCTCTATTTTCTTTGCAAAATAACTCTAATTATACTTGTTCTACTTTTTAAAATTGTTGAGGGGATCAAATGAGATATGTGAAAATAACTTATAAGTCATAAAGTGCCATAAAAAGTTAGGCAGGGGTTGGCACCAGGGGGGTGAGGGCATAAGTAGAGAGATAGGGGGCAGTGGGGGGTTAAGGACACATATATAATACCTTAATAAAGAAAAATAAATAAAGTTAGGCAGGGGTTTATTATATAATCAACATCTTACATATTTGCAACTGGAATATTATAATTAGATGTTTTCAAGACAAGACATGGCACATTCATAATCAAAACATTGCAAATAAACACATATAAAGCTAAGACTTATTCAGAAAATGAAACTATGGTATAAATATGGCATCAGTTCCATTCTTAATCAATGGTATATAAATTGTTAGTGCTACAGATACAGCCAGATCTACATTCTGAGACACTGCTGTATTCAAACAAATAACGTTTAGTAACAGTATCTTTATTTAAATGACATTTTGCATTACCATTTGTTATTGTCAGTTTCTCACAGATGTCTGTAGGATTAGGAATTTTAATATTAAAAACTAGATAAATAAGGGAAAGACTTTATTTAGTTCACTGTTATATCCCCATTGCCAGAATATCGTCTGAGACATAAATATTTCTTAAAAGAATGAGTGAAATGATACTCTGATCATTGGAGAAGAGAGTTTAAGAATAGCTGTAACATAAAAATGTTAAGCATAAATACTGGCAATATGGTTAATATTCTGAAGTTTCTTTGATTCCCATATGTTTGGCAGATTTATCATTTCTTCCTCTTTGCTTTACTTAGGGGCGTGCTGCCTTAACAAAAGAAAAAGAGGAATTTGCTCATGAACATGAAGAAATGAAAAACCTAGCAGACATTGTTCAAGAAATAAAACCAACTGCTCTCATAGGTAAACTTTTCCCTCCTCACATAAACCCCAACTGACCCCATTTTCACCTGATTCCTTTTCTTAACTACTGATCTATGAGGCATAGTTTAGCTTTTTGAAATTCTAACCTTTGGAATTGACAAACGAAATTATACGTTCACTGAAGCTACGGCACCCCATGGACACCTAGATTTGCTGTCTTCTTGACCTTACTGATCCCGGTTGAAGTGTGTGGCCCCCTCTGCCAACTCTGTCAGCCTGTTAGTACCTGGCACATTCAGCACTTTTCCAAGTGTGATTGCTCCCATAGACAGTGGCTCTCAATGGGATGGAGTTGGTCCCCATGGAAACATTTGACAATGCCTGGAGATACTTTTGGTTGTAACAACTGGGAGGAGATGGGGGGTGGGGTCAGGGCTACTGACATCTAGTGAGTAGAGACAAGGAATGCACAGGAAAGCCTCCCACAACAAGGAATTATCCAACCCAAACTGTTAATATTGCCAGAGTTGAGAAACACTGAACTGGACTTCCTTGAAGACAGGGACCATATTTCACATATCTTTGTATTGCTCATAGCACTTAGCACAGTAGTTTAACATGGCATGTGCACTGTGAAATGTTTATTATGGCCAAGGTTAATGTGGTTGAAAAAAACGCAAAGAAAACCATGAAATTTAAGCTCTTATTTTGTGTGTATATGATGTCAGCCCTTACTTTGTATCATACTCCATTCCTAGAAGCTCTTATGAAGCAGATGACAATATTGAGAATAATGTTGATAACCATAATAAAAACAAATACTCCATGCCTGCAACTGTAGGAAGCCTTTATTGTTGTTTTTTATAAAATATCGTCTATCAGGAATTGCCTTTTTTTTTTCATTTCCATTATGCAAATTGCTTCATTCTCTGTTAAACTTGAAACACATCGTACCTCAGTTTTTAATTAAATTGGATGATTGTCTTAAATGTTAGCGTTGGTTTATAAAACACAATTACTTGATAGCCCTAGAGACTGAAATATACTCATGTATTTCTTATAGAGAGATAATACATATTGTACAAATTTTTTAAATTTTTTACTTATTGATTTGAGAGAGAGAGAAAGAGAGATGTCTTGTTCCACTTATTTATGTGTTGTTTGATTCTTGTATGTGCCCTGACTGGGGATCAAACCCGCAACCTTGACATATTGGGATGATGCCCTACCAGTGGTCAGCCAACTGTGGCTTGCGAGCCACATGCGGCTCTTCGGCCCCTTGAGTGTGGCTCTTCCTAAGCCTTAGGAGTACCCTAATTAATAACAATGTACCTACCTATATAGTTTAAGTTTAACAAATTTGGCTCTCAAAAGAAATATCAGTCGTTGTACTGTTGATATTTGGCTCTGTTGACTAATGAGTTTGCCGACCACTGCCTAACCAACTGAACTACCAGGCCAGGGTCATATTGGACACATTTTAATGTCCTGTTATAAGTACCTGTAATCAAAATTCCTAATGATTAGTCACCAGCTCAATGTATTTACGAGTCAAGTGTTATAGTTGTGATTTTTTAGACACTTGTAGATTTATAACCCTAAAGGCTATTGACATTAATAAACTTACCTTTTTGTCACTTTGATACTAAACTTGTTTAGCATCTGTTAGAAAATGACCTGACTTTTCATTGTTGCTTGGGCATGGGCTTCTTGGATTCATTAACCAATGATAGTCCTATTCACTGGTTTCTCATTTCTATTTTAGGAGCTGCCGCAATTAGTGGGGCATTCTCGGAACAAATCCTCAAAGACATGGCTGCCTTCAATGAACGGCCTATTATTTTTGCTTTGAGTAATCCAACCAGCAAAGCAGAATGTACTGCAGAGCAGTGTTATAAAGCAACCCAGGTAAAGCAAAAGCATAACTGATATTTTAATTATCAAATTTTGATTCATTATAGGGAAGCTGAGGATATCAACGGAGCTTACCACTTAACTTTTTAAAATTACGCAAACAAGATTGAAAAAAAATAGTGAACAGGTCAGAAGGGATAAGAACCGTATTCTAGAACAGGGGTGGGCAAACTTTTTGACTCGAGGGCCACAATGGGTTCTTAAACTGGACCGGAGGGCCGGAACAAAAGCATGGATGGAGTGTGTGTGTGACCTAATATAAATTCAAAGTAAACATCATTACATAAAAGGGTACGGTCTTTTTTTTTTTTTTTAGTTTTTTTCTTTTTAAACGGGCCGGATGTGGCCCGCGGGCCGTAGTTTGCCCACGGCTGGCCTAGAATGTTGTTGTAAAAATCCTCTTCTTCAATAAAACAAAATAAACTTGGTAATGTTTTGTTGATAATTTTCCTCATGATTTAGAATTATCTAAGGTTAAAACATAAAAGTTAAAAAGGAAAAAGCTTGATTCTAGATGCTTATTAAAATAACTTTTAACTAGCTATTCTGAAACACTGAAGCACACAGTATGCAAACCACAGTCTTATTTTTGCTTTGCTAACCCTGGGTTTGGGTTTTGATGCTGTGGGTGGAGTATCTGGGCAGCATTCTGACATCCAGCCAGGCTGGGGCAGGCGTCCTCAAAGCTTCAGTCCTTTACTATTTCTCCAAAGTGACTTATTTATGCTATCTTTGTTTTAATATACAGGGTGGGGCAAAATTAGGTTTATAGTTGTGAGTATGCGAAACAGAGTTTATTCTTGTATTATCTATTTATTTTTTATTGTATTATTTACTATTATTAACCCACTTTTTCCCCTCCCTCTATACACGCCTCATGCAGCCCAGCCAGAAGATGAGGAAGGTAGAAACAACTCTATTATATGGGTGAGGAAACAGAGTAGGGAAGGAAATTATGTTTAATGACTACTTCCTGTGGATCAGACACTGTCACATGTTATTATCAGGGGCCCCCCAGACCCCTCCGATTGCTGGCTCTGCCCCTGCCCAGGCCTAACGCCTCTGGCCAAGACATTAGGCCTGGGCAGGGGACCCCCAGCTCCCCACGGTTGCAGGCTCCACCCCTGCCCAGGCTTAACGCCTCTGGCCGAGGCGTCCGGCCCGGGCAGCAGGGACCCGCAGCTGCAGCGGCCCTGCGATCGTGGGCTTCGCTTTAGGCCCAGGCAAGGGACCCCTAGCTCCTGGGACTGCCAGCTTCGACCATGCCCAGCTCCCATCGCTGGCTCCACCCCTACTTCCTGCTATCACTGGCCAGGGCGGAAAAGGCACCTGATTCTCCGATCATGGCTGGGGGCAGGGCAAAGGCTCCCCCCTGGGTTTCCGATCACTGTCAGTGGCAGGGGGCTTCTTCCTGCTTTCCCTTTCGCCTCCCTGCCTTGTGCCTACATATGCAAATTAACCGCCATCTTGTTGGAAGTTAATTTGCATATAGCCGTGATTAGCCAATGAAAAGTATAGCGTCGTACGGCAATTACCATTTTTCTCTTTTATTAGTGTAGACTAGAGGCCTGGTACATGAATTCATACACAGGTGGGGTCCCTTGCCCAGTCCTGATCGGGGTTGATCGGGGCCTGCCGGCCGGCCAGGGATAAAAACCACGCAAGGTTCAACTCCTGCATTGAGTGTCTGCCCCCTGGTGGTCAGTGCACAGCATGACGACTGGTTGACTGGTTGTTCGGTCGACTGGTTGTAACAGTCACTTAGGATTTTATATATAGATAGATTATTGTATTATTTTCCATATGGACAGCTGTATACCTACTTTTGCCTGACCCTGTATAGGGTGTTTCAAAAAATGTTTACACACTTTGAATAATTATAAAGGCAGTCTATTAAAATACATTTTATTTTCAACATGTAATAGAATTTACAGACATTGTGTGTATACTTTTTTGTGACTTCCTGTATATTTAACTGATATGTTGACAAGGGCCTTCTTCCCTTCAAATGTTTGAAAGGTCTTTAAAACAAAATAAGGATTGAGTCACAGATGTCTAAAACTTTTATTTTGGAAATAAATCCAAAATGAACTAGAAAAGGTCAACATGACACAAAGTTATGCCGCTGCACAAACCAGACTTTGATGCCCCACTTCTTTAATATTATGTCCTTAATGCTTATGACTAGAATTGATGAAATGTTGGCAGGAGCTACTGCATTGTTTATCTCTCTTATTTGGGATGGCATCAATGTCCTCAGTAATTAAATTTTTATCTCATCTCTAGAGTGGGGAATTTGACTCATCAGTAGTTCTTAAATCCTTAAAGGAGGAAAAAGCTCTCTGAGCAATAACAAAATTTTAGCATTGTACATTGCAGGCACATTAAATGTTTAAGTAATCATTTTGCTTTGGATATTTCATAGTCCTCAAGAGTTGATAGACTCAGCTGTGATAGTCAATCAAAATTACCTAAATTTATATACTTGTGTTTTTAAGTTTGAATACATTTGATGCAAATGGCCTAAACTCTCCGTAGGATCTTGCTTAATGTCCTGTGTCCTTATACATAAAATTGAAAGTCACTTGAGGCTGAAAAGGTAAGCACTGCCTCAGCCAAAGGATTACAGAACAAGAAAGATCTGCCTGTGGCTGCGTGTGAGTCTCCGCAGCTGCAGGCACAGGGGAAGTTGCTAAGAAAATTTAGAAATGCAAAATGCAAAAAAATTATTGAACCTAGAAAAACTATACCAAAAGTGGTATGGAGAGATTTCCTTCTCCATTTAGCATTTCATGTATATGAGAATACTTATCTAGCTATTATTTACTTACTGCCATTCCTCCATAAAATATGACAATTATAGAACAATGGGCAGGAGGAGAGGGAGTGAAGGAGGTTAAACAAGAATAAATGCAATATTGAAGGTCTCTTCTTATAAATTTTCAAAGGTGTATGTACATGCCAAGTAGTATATACAAATGTTTATTTAATATATATCAAATCTTAATTTAGTTACATTAGAAAGTTACTTGTAATAAAATATTTTATCTGCTAAACAGACTGAAGGTATCAGATTTGTCTAAAAGTATAACCTAATCTTGTGTAACACATAATAGTGTCTTACAGACACCTACTGAGAATTTTCATTTTCTTTCTCATCTGTTTTCATCTTTTTATATCCTGAATAGGTTGAATCATTATACAATTTTAACTTTATACATAAGATATTCTCTGAAATTGGTTAAAATGAATAAGTTCATATTATTAATATCATAATGGGTTTAGACTCTAGATCAGCGACTTTCAACTGGTATGCCACAAGAATTTTTAAAACATGCAATACCTAGAGAACAAACTGACAGCTGTCAGATGAAAGGATTAAGAAAAACAAACCAAAAAAAAACAAAACAAAAATAACTCACGGACACAGACGACAGTATGGTGATTACAGAGGGAAAGGAGGTATGGGGAGGTAGAAGAGGATCTAGTCGGGATAAATGGTGACGGAAGGAGACTTGACGGGATGGTGAACACACAACACAATATACAAACATTGTATTATAGAATTGTACACCTGAAACCTATATACAGTGGGGCCTTGACTTACGAGTTTAATTCGTTCCGAGACCGAGCTGGTTAAGGAGCTCGTTAAGGAGCACGTTAACTCAAATTACTCTATCAACTCAATGCAAAAAATCAGCCGAGAGACAGCTGGTATCTCAAAAAACTCGTTAGTCGGGACACTCATAAGTCAAGGCCCCACTGTGATTGTATCAACCAATGTTACCCTAGTAAATTCAATGAAAAATTTTTTAAAATATGCACTACCTGACTAGTTAGTCAAGGGCACTGACCTCTTTTGTCTTAGATTGTCAAATGAAAAAAAATGTCAACAGCCAACACAATAATAGCCATCCAGTGTGAATGCCCTGTCTTGAACCATAAATATATAAATCATATAATATAGTTGCATCTTATTGGTCATGTTGCATAATAAAGCTAATTGGTTAATTCTTGGTACCAGAAATCTTTATATACAAGTATGAGCACTTGGTTTTTTAACCAAAGAACTTATATGAGTATATGCATAATCCATGGACACAAAGTCACTTTGGAGTAAAAATTACTATTACTATTTTTTGATAAATTAATAAAAATCAAACCTATTTTTTGTCAGATTGGCAAAAAAAATCAGATATTTTTGGGTGTGCTACAGAATTTTAGTAATCAGTTTCTGTGTGCCATGAGATGAAAAGGCCGAAAGTCGCTGCTCTAGCTGTGAGAGGGATGCAAGTTCTAATTCAGTTTATCATCATTTAAACTATGCTTTGGGGATTTGGGACTTTAGACTTTCCCAGTGCATTTCTCAGATGTGATGCTTTATTTGTCCAAGGTTCCCTATTCCTGTCTTAGAAGCCTTACTGCTTTTAAGGACGTCTCCACCCTCCCTTCACAGATCAGACAGATGCTTCCCTTTCTGTCAGCAGTATGGAATGCGGCATCCAACAGGCCCAAGTTAATGCCATCTTAACGCATGTAATACACGAAGTTCCTCCAAAACATTGTGACAAAATATGAATCTAGGAAAAAATAAAGACAGTCTTTGACAGTTATTGATAATTTAATCTTATTTGCTAATCCCACTTGCTCTAATAGGTTTATTTCCTATATGATTTTTCATGTAATTCTTCACAGCGTAGAAATATATAAAATTTGTCCTCGTGATTATGTTGAAACGTGTTGATCCCTAAACTCTAACCTAGAATGTCATTCTTTCCAATACTCCACTATTAGTGTATCATTTTTATCTTCAGCAGTCTATAATTGGAAGCCCATTAGAGATAGTTGACAGGGCTGTAGGTTGGACCACTGCAGAGTGGCACCAGGCTTTCGGGTATCTGTGCACTTCTAGGAGTGGAGAGTAAGATAGAGAGCGGTCATAATCACCCACTCAAGAACTTATTGCCAACACCATAACAATTTGCCCAGACTTATTAGGGATGAAAAATTAAAATTCTTTTTAAATGCTCAGTGGGAGAGTCCTGCTGTGATACATTTGCGTTAAGATAGCTTGCTTCTTTTTACAGTTGTGTGTCTGTGTTGTAGGGGCGTGCGATTTTTGCCAGTGGCAGTCCTTTTGATCCAGTCACTCTTCCTGATGGTCGGACCCTGTATCCTGGCCAAGGCAACAACTCCTATGTGTTTCCTGGAGTTGCCCTTGGTGTTGTGGCGTGTGGATTGAGGCATATCACAGACAAGGTTTTTCTCACGACTGCTGAGGTACTGTAAAATACTCTTAAGTTCTCTCAGGCTATAAAATACCAAAGGACCTTCATGTAGTTGTCTTTATCTAGTACAATCTCAGCTCACTCCCTAGAAGGTATAGCTGAAGGAGAGAAAATCTTTCCCAGTGGAGAGAGAATAAGGGGCAGGTAGCAGGCTCATACTGAGTCATTTGTAAAAGATTGTTCTTTAGTAGCCAGCAAAAACCCCACAAAATTGTGTTCTGATTTCTTAAATGAAACCCTTTTTTATCTTTATACTTTCAAATTTTGTGACAGTAGTGAGACAATTAAAAATTTTGTTTCCAGCCCAGCTGGTGTTGCTCAGTGGTTGAGCATCAACCTATGAACCATGAGGTCCACAGTTCAATTCCTGGTCATGGCACATGCCCTGGTTGCGGGCTCAGTCCCCACAGGGGGCATGCAGGAGGCAGCTGATCAAGCTGTCATCATGGATGTTTCTCTTTCTCTCCCTCTCCCTTCCTCCCAAATTAATCAAATTACATTAAAAAAAAA